ATAAATCTAAAAAGTTAACACTGAAATTTTAAAATCACCCTTTGGCTGTCTTCAGGGTTACAACTGATTCAGATAAGAATTATCAGCCAAGTTCAGTGGCTCAGCCTGTAATCCCACACCTTTGGGAGGCTGAGGTGAGTGGATTGCCTGAGCCCGCGGGTTCAGCAAGATCTCATCTCTACAATAAATCAAAAAATCAGCCGGGCGTGGTAGCACATGCCTGTAATTCCAGCTACTTGGAAGGCTGAGGCGGAAAGATCGCCGGAGCCCAGCAGGTGGAGGCTGCGGTGGCCGGAAGCGGCCACTGCACTCCAGTCTGGGTGACAGAGTGAGACTCCAACTCATAAAAAAAAAAAAAAATTATCAGTGGAAGGTGAATGAAAGCTTGATGAGGGACAGAATATTTATATACATTTATATACATTCTCAAAAATCTCAGAAAATGCTTATTAATCACTATTACATAATAACAAAAACATAATTATTAATTAACTTTACAGTAAAAAAGCCTGGCACACTCTTCACTACATGATAAAAGTCATCACTAATGGGACAAATCAGTATCAGGTGTTTCCCAATACGAAGTACTAAATGCTTCTTTACAAATGTCATGGTCATAAAAGATAAGAAAGACTGAGGAACTGTTCCAGATTGAAACAGAATGAAGAGAAATTATCAGTACATGTAACACATGATCTTGATTGGACCCTGGACTTATAAAAGACATTACTGGGACAATCAGCAAAATTTAAATGGAATCTGTGGATTCAATGGTAATACCTATCAAAGTTAACTTCCTGACAAAAGAGTGTCCGTGTACTTAGAAAATACATTTTGAAGTATTAAGGGGTAATAGAAAATCATGTCTACAACTTATTCCCAGATGGCTCAGAAATGTGGGAGGCTCCATGTATCACTTCTACAAATTTTATTCAAGTATTTAACTGGCAGACCAACCATGCTTTAAATGAACTTAACTCCTCTTTGAGCTATTAAAACTATTTAAGATCCATCTATATACTGTGGAGTCAGGACTGAATCCTTTCTCCTCCAGACCCCTTACTCCTCAATACTGAGTAACAGTCATCTAGTTTACAACAAAAGTGCCACTGCACCTGTGGATTATCTTTTCAATAAATGGTCCTGGGTTAACTGAATGTCTATATATTGTTAAAAAGAAAAACAAATCTTGAGCTCTACTTCACATTATACATAAAACTTAATTCTTGACAGACTGTAGATCTAAACTGGAAAGATGAAATAACAAAGCTTCTAAAAATAATGTAAGGTAGCCGGGCTCGGTGGCTCAGCCTGTCATCCTGAGCCTTTGGGAGGCTGAGGTGAGTGGATTGCCTGAGCCCGCGGGTTCGAGACCCACCTGGGCAGCGAGACCTCATCTCAACAATAAATCAAAAAATCAGCCGGGCGTGGTAGCGCCCGCCTGTAATTCCGGCTACTCGGAAGGCTGAGGCGGAAGGATCGCCGGAGCCCAGCAGGTCGAGGCTGCGGTGGCCGGGATCGGCCACTGCCCTCCAGTCTGGGCGACAGAGTGAGACTCCAACTCAAAAAAAAAAAAAATAATAATAATAATAATAATAATAATAATGTAAGGTTATACTCATAACGTTGTGAGAGACAAAGATATCTTAAATAGTACACAGAAAAGCACTGACCATAAAGGTAAAGACTAATTAATGAGTCTTCATTAATATAAAGAATTTCTATTCATCAAAATACACCAATAGGAGTATGGAAAAATATTTGCATACATATACATATTGCAAATATACATACATAGAGAGTTCTCATATATTGCTGGTATAAGGGTAGACTGATACTATTTGACATGATGTATTAATACTGAACACATTTATAACCTATAACCCAACAATTCCAATCAGGTACATTCCCAACAGAAATGTATATGTATAATAATATTCATAGCAACATTATTTCAGATCACCCCGAACTGGAAACAATCCAAATACGTACAATAGTATAATTACTCATTATACTATTGAATATATTCCTTAATTATAATGAATAATTAAATTATGGTATATTCAAGCAATAGAATACTACATGGCAGTGAAATATTATAGTATTAAATACAACACAGATAAATCTCACAAACATAATATTGAGAAAAACAAGCCATCATAAAGAATCTAGGGTCTGATTCCAACAACTGGGCACAACTAATCTGGCAGTAATCGGAATCATGATTTCATTTGGAGCTGTTTAACCAACTGAAGGGGCATGAGGGAGGCTTCTGAGGTACTGGTAAAGCCTGCTGTAAAGTGTTCCCAGTGTAAAAATACATCAAAGTCCTACATTTATAATATGTCTCCTTGTCTGAATGTAATATTAAATTTTACTTTTAAAGTTTGCCCAAAATAATCTATTTATTCCCTCTACTCACTGCAACATCTGACAGTGGAGAAATTCTTATCTCCACTAGGGTTTTGCAGATACTCTCCTGTTTCCTTCCTCTGACTCTTGCTATAATTTTATAACTGTGGACTTGACCCATAGCTGAGCACACAATTAACTGCTCTTGCTTTATATTACATGCCTTAGACAGTTCGTTAGGTTTCATTCCAAATGCCACTTCCCAGACTCTAGCAGAGCACAGGGCATAGAATACTCAGTGCAAACGAGTTTCTACCTTCCCTTCTGCCTTTACTTTTCACTTTTGTGAGTTTGGGTCTCACTCTGTCATCCAGGCTGGAGAGTGGTGGCACAGTCACGGTTCAATGTAGCCAAGACCTACTGGGCCTCCCGAGTAGCTGAAACTACAGGTGCACACCACCACGCCCAGCTAATTTATATATAGTAGAGATGAGGTCTCACTATGTTACCAGGGCTGGTCTTGAACTCGCAGACTCAAGCAGTCCTTCAGCTTCAGCCTCCCAAAGTGCTGGGATTGCAGGCGTGAGCCACCATACCCAGCCTCTTTCCTCCTTTCTTGATCCATAAACTATGGCAAAGATTTCCTTGCTCTTAGTATTTCCCACTTTCCATTCACATGTCAAACTGAACTTCCTAAAATATATTTTAAATAGTGTTTTAAAATACTATTTTAAATTGGTCATAAATATTAGTTCCCCCAAATTAAAGATAAAATTTAATCTCATAAAGCTGACTTTTCAAGTCTATCACAATCTACTCACTATCTACATCTCCAGTCTTATGTCTTACTAGTCACCTGATATAATTAAAGTCATCTATGCGTTTTTTAATCAAACCTAGTACAGTACAGATTCCTATTCCAATACCTTTCCTCGTAATATTTCTTCAGTGTAACATATTCCTGCCTTTTCACTATAACTGCCTACTTTCATTCAAGACCCATATATTACTTCATCTACTTAAGTCCATGTTGGTCATTACCTACAATAAACAAGTGGCTGTGATTACCCACTTAGCGCTTTAGTTTTACCATCAAGTTACATGTTCATGTATAAGGTTGTAAGACTCTCACTGAAAAAGACAATGCTTTATACCTCTTAAGATATAAATAAGAATGAGTACTTAATAATAGTGGTGGAGGTATGGTACTAAAGATCAACCAGTAATCTGAAGAGGTTTTTAAAAATTAAAGAAGTTTTTATCAGCCTCAAGCTGAACAGAATACTTTTTCATTAAAATAATATTTTGGCTTATTTAAGCTTACTTAATAAATACTGTAATCAGTTGAACAGAAAAAAAGCACTCTTAATAGGAAATCCTTGGATTCTGAATTTCCAAATTCAGAAAGAACAGAGTGTGTCTAATTAAACCACATGAGAAAGAAATAAGCATGTATGTGATTAGATTGCATATTACCATATGAACTATAATTAAATAGAATATGGAGTCACTGCTGGCAGGCACAATATCTTTTTTTTAACTCCATTACAAAATACCTAAGGCCAAATTAGTATTGATCAGAAGATAACTATTTGAATTAATAAGTCAACAAATGATTGAGTAAATGAATGTATGGCTGGTATAAAACAGAGACTTTATTAACTTGATGTTATTAAATATATGCTGTGTCCAAAATACAGGTGTGCCTTTTCCAAATAGACAGGTGAACATACAATGTTATTGGTATTGTAAGCAAACAGAAGAACACTTTATAAATATTTTTAGGAGTTTAAAATTAGAACTGTCATTCACCTAGCAGGATATTACACATAGGTGGTTTTGGAAATGTGTGGGTTTCTTAATAAACTTAAAGTAAATGTTCTAAATTGAATAATAATCATTACTAAAATTTCACACCAACAGGCAAAATAATTATAAAATGCTTAGAGCTCATTTGATAATCTGTAATTAACTATAATAAATAAACAGTAACTCCTTAATTATTAAAATTACATATTATGTATTTAAAAAGAGAAATTGAACATTTCTAGCTTTACTTTAGGAAAAAATCTCCAAACTTTCTGGGCTTTACATTCAAGTATGTTTTTGCCAACATTAAAAAAGTAAATAAGGTCTGGAATGGTGGCTCATACCTATAATCCCAGCACTCTGAGAGGCCGAGGCAGGAGGATTGCTTGAGCCTACGAGTTCAAGACCAACCTAGGCAACATAGTGAGATCTCATCTTTACAAAAAATAAAAAAATTAGTCAGATGTGGTGGCTTACACCTGTAGTACCAGCTACTCGAGAAACTGATGTGTAAGGATCACCTAAGCTGAGGAGGCAAAGGCTGCCGTGAGCTATGATTATGCGACTGCACTCCAACCTGGGTGACAGAGTAAGACCACAACTCAAAAAAAAAAAAATGTAAATAATGTTTCTTTATAGTATCTACCAAAGCAAATTTTAAAATAACTACAATTACCTTCTTCATTCTCTCACCTTCAGTTAGTATTTTGCTGTCTTGTGCATGTGCCTGTGTGTGTGCTATTAATACCTCCTGACTGTGCAACTTGCCTGCTATAAATGAAACATACAGAGAACAGAACACATAGCACACAACACACAGAAACGAGTTAGTAACATACCTGGGTTATTATTAACATTACTTTTGGGTGGTTTCTGAACTGGTTTGGGAAGCGTAGATTCAGTCAAAGCTTTATTGGCAACAGCTTGTTGGGCCTTCTTTATACTGCTCCCTTCGGATTCCCATGTTTGCTCTCCAAGATTCAGCTGCACTGAGAACATCTTAGAGAAATATAAACAGATAAAGATAACATTAACAATTTTTCAGGAAATAAAATGGGCTGTCTGAGCGAAAAATAAATACACCACAGAATCAGAATTTTAGAACTAGAGAACAGACTATTTGCAACAAAAATCTTATTCTACCTAAATAAAGGAATTTTAAGAGATTGTACCAAATTCTATTCTATCCTATCCAAAAATTTACTAGCAGAGTCTAAGTATACATTTTGGGTAGAATAAATAAGTAATTTCTCCCCCAAATAGAATCACATTGTTAACATCATTCAAATAATCCTGAGAAAAGTAGAATAAATACAAAGAAAAAGAGAAACTGTAAGAGAAGCCAAAGGCCCCCCTCTATAACACTTTTTTATAAAATCTAATTCCTTGAACTTTATACTTACCACAACCTAGTCAATGAGTCAGGCAATCCTATTAAATATTATATTCATCAAGAAACCCTCAATACCCACAACAAACCAGTCACTAAATTCTATCCGTTTTAACCTCACAAATATTTCTTCAAATATTCCTCCTCTCTTTGCCACAGACACTGTATGAAATCCAGCCTTTCATCATCTTTAGCTTAGACATAATAATATGCTAGAACTATCCTTCTAAAATTCAAATCTAATTTCATCACCCCAACCAACAACAAATTAAAAACCAGGTGCTTTCGGGTTAGCATGGCACAAAGGTTCTACCCGTCCATCCTCATTTTATACACATCCTTCTCCTCCCATATCCTACAATCCATTCATACTATTATTTCCATCTAAGCCCCAAACCTGTTTTTCACTTTAAAACTTAGGATACATAATATGCACATAATTGGTCTTATGCCACAGACTGCTCACTACTTTGTAGGAATAGAGTATTAACTCATAAATACTAACTACTGATAAATAAATGTATCTTTGCAGAAGATGATAAGATAGAAAATATCGTAACCAAGTGATTAAAGTCACCATCACCAGTAATGATACAAATTGACATTGTATGCACTCTGATATGCTCCAATGAGAAGTACACATCAACGACTATGCAGCATTCTTGGCCAAAAATGTTTAACCTGAATCTAATCAATCTAATCCTTGGGAAACAATCAGACAGACGTGGATTATGAGATATTCTATAAAACAAATGGCCTAGACTCCAAAAATGTCAATGTCATGAAAGGAAAAAACCAAATAAGAGATTGCATAAGACTGTTACAAAGGATACTAACAAGACATGAAAAGACATGATAATAATGCATGATTCTTGATTACATCCATAATGGGAAGAAAAAGCTATAAGGGACATTTAGAGCACTACTGGGGAAATCTGACCATCAACTATATATTAAATAATAGGCTTAGCCAAGGTTACATTTCTTGTGTGATTACAGTATTGTGGTTATGCAGAAGAATACCTTTAGTCTTAAAAGACATGTAAATGCTTAAGGGTAAAGTGTCATGATAGCTAAGATTTACTTTCAAAAAAAATTTTTTTTTGAGTCAGAGTCTCACTCCGTCGCCTAGGTTGGAGGGCAGTGGCACGCTCACCACCACCACAACAGCCAACTTGCTGGGCTCCGGCGATCCTTCCGCCTCCACCTTCCAAGTAGCCGGAACTACAGGTGCGTGCTGCCACACCTGGCTAATTTTTGGTTTTTATTGTAGAAATGAGGTCACACCAAGTTGCCCAGGCTGGTCTCGAACCCACAGGCTCTGGCAATCCACTCGCCTCTGCCTCCCAAAGTGCTGGGATTACAGGCTGAGCCACCAAGCCCAGCCTTCAATTGTTAAAGGAAAAAGTATACATCTATAGAGAGGGAGCGAGAAATAAAGTAATGTAGCAAATATATTCCAGATCAGTGAATCTCATAGATATATGAGTATCTATTATATTATTCTTTCAATGCTTTCTGTAGGTTTTCAATTTTTCACAATAGAGAATTGGAAAATATTTACCATAATTTGAAAGTCAAAATATACACAAACCTGTTAAGAGATGAATTTTTTCTTTTATTCTAATTAGGTTTAAAAGACATACCTAAAATTTATAATCTCATATATACCTTATATGCTTAAAACAGAAATAGCCACATGAATATTAGACCTTGAGATTCCAGATAGCATCAGGAAAGCATATTTACTTAAATTTACTCCGCATGTCTCCAGATCTGACGGCTCCTAAAACACAGTCACATAAATCTTATTGCCTACCGAGTATTTCCACTAACTCAAGAGATATAAAATCCAATAAAGCATTACCTCCTCCACTCCACCTCCTCCAAATCAGAGCATACTCCAGAATGTTCCATCCATTATTCTCCCAACAGTTCAGATTCAAAACCTCAATAGCTTGTTTATCCTTGCCTTCCTACAACTTACTTAACAAAAATCTCAAAACAGTTCCTTGCAATTTCTACTGTCACCACCTTAGTCTAAGGCCCCTATAAACAAACCCACAATCAGAATACTTCATTTACCTACTGTCTCGAATCTTTCTTCACTCCTGATCATCCAGTTGTCACCGTTTTCCCAATCTCTCAGGCCAGACACCTTTGAGTGGTCTTCTATTCTCTACTGCATTTAATTATTAACTTCAAAAGTGTTTTTCAGATCTGGTCTCCTTTCTTTATAACATTTGCCAATGTCTTAGTGGAAAATATCAGTGTCTGTCCTACTACAAGACCATCTACAAGACCTGCTACAAGACCATCTGTGATGCATAAAAAAATATGCATTTGGTTTCTGCCTCCTTAACACAGAGCTGCTAAAACCATGTATTTTCACAAGTGATGAGGGGCTAGGAGTATCTTTTGTTCTAATATTTGTTCTTTAATCCCAATTCCTAGCACAGAGCTCCTAAATCCTTTGGGATTTCCTGGGTGACAGCACCATCTTTTGTTCTGATGAGTAAACTCTTGGTGGGCTCCTGGATAGCTTCAGGATGAGGGCTGGTCACCAGAAGACCAAGCCACGATTAGAAAATTAGAACTTTCATCCCCATGCCCCTATCCTCCAGGGAGGGAGGAGATATTGAGCTAATGATCGACCATGCCTACATAATTAAGCCCCTATAAGCATCTCTAAAAGATGGGGTTAGAAAAGTTTCTGAGCTGGTGAATACACTGAGGTGCTGGGAGAGCGGCACACCCAGATAGGGCTTAGAAGCTCCATTTTCCTTCTTTCCCACATACCTCGTCCTATGTATCTCTTTATCTAGCTATTCACCTATATACTTTAGAATATCTTTATAATAAACCGGTAAATGTCTCCATCTAAATACTAACCAGGCCTGACCCTGCTTAGCTTCCAAGACCAGACAGGATTGGGCGTATTCAGGATGGTATGGCCATAGACTAAGCCGCTAAATATAAGTAAAGATTTCCCTGAGTTTTGCAAGTTGTTATTACAAATTACTGAACATAAGAAGAGGGTGCTGAGAATTCCCACTTTACAGTCAACTAGTCACAAGTTTCCAACACCCAAACTTGTGATTGGCATCTGAAGTCGGAAAAGTCTTGTAGGACTGATCCTAAAGCCAGGGGTGTATATCAACTCTAGGCAGCTAGTGTCAGAACTGAGTTAAACTGTAGGACATCCAGTCAGTGTACATGGAGAACCGGTTAGTGTGTGGGAAAAACCCCCTTACATTTAATGTCAAAGTGTTGAGGGTACAGTACAGAAAAAATTCTTTTCTTACCATCCTAAAATAAATCCCTTAACATCAAGTTTTCCCAGTTAAACTACCCTTCTGGCCAACATAAACATATTTTGTTTTCTTTTTGAGTTGGTGTCTCACTCTTGTGGCCCAGGCTGGAATGCAGTGTCATGTTCACGGCCACCACAGCCTCGACCTGCTGGGTTTAAGTGATCCTTCCAGCTCAGCCTCCCAAGTAACTGGAACTACAGAAGCACACCACCACGCCCGGCTAGCTTTTGTGATTTATTATAGAGATGATGTCTCAAGCAAGTTGCCCAGGCTGGTCTCGAATCCATAGGCTCAGGCAATCACCTCAGCCTCCCAAAGTGCTGGGATTATAGGCGTGAGCCACCGCGCCCAGTGCGTATTTATTCTTAAATGTTTAAACTTCTCTGACACTTTCATAGTACTGTCTGTTTGATGCAATACAACTATCAAGACGCTTTGTCTACTGCTCAAAACAACTGCTGAACTCACAAGTTTTGATGTCCTTTAGTGCTGCTGCCTTTTTTTGTTTCACCTCTTCCACACTGGCAAAATGTTTTTATTTAAAAACTTTCTTCATCCGAGGAAACAAAAAAAAGTCACTTGGAGAAGACCAGATGAATAGGGAGGGTGGAGCACAGGGGCCATGCCATTTCTGGTCAAAAACTGCTGAACTCTCAGTGCAATATGGGCAGGTGTGCTCATAATCACATCATGAAATGGGTAAACACATTGAAAGAATCTCCAAAAAAAAAATTAACTGAAGCCAAACACAGCATCTCACTACAACACTGGCTGGTACACTGATGCCCATGAGTTCCTGAACTCTTACCCAGCAAGGGAAACCTGTACTACAAGGAGCTAGACCTCCAAATAATAATTCCAGTTTTTTTAGGTTCCCCCTTCATATTTTTTTATTTTAAAGATGTGTGGCACAATTCAGTTAGGTATACAAATGTTCATTATGCAGGCACCCCTGTTGATGAGGTGTACCCCTGCCTTCCCTGACAGTTTCCCTCAACTGCCAATCCTACCCCCCTCCCCCTGCCCATAAATTAATAGATTAATAAATATATAAATAAATAAGAGCTGGAGTACTCAATTTTGCTAAGATCTTAACTTTTCCCAAAGTGAGCTATAGATTAAAAAATCTATATTTTATGGGCTATTCAAAAATCTCAGCAGGAATTTTTTGAGAAATAGACAGGCTGGCCAGGCATGGTGGCTCATGCCTGCAATCCCAGCATTTGGGGAGGCCAAGGTGGGAGGACTGTTTGAGCCCAGGAGTTCGAGACCAGCCTGGGCAACATAGTGAGAAC